CAAGAAGGGGAGGATACACAATATGCTGAAGTATGTTACATGAACAATGGGCAAGGAGGTTACAACAAAGGATATTACAATTACAAGTCCAACCCAGCCATGTCATACAGAAACACTTACGTTGCCAACCCCCAAGATCAGGTCTACCCTCAACAACAGCAAACTCAATCGAGTCAAGCTCCTCAACATGGGTATGGTCCTAAAAACAACTACCAAGGCCCTCAAGGGACTTTTCCTAGTCAGCAAATGCACATACCACCTGGCTTTCCCCACCAACCACCCCAGCCTGCGCCTACACTTGAGCATGAGCTCAAGGCCATGCTTAAACAGTTGCTCCAAGGGCAAGCGGATGGTGTTGTGGAGACAAGCAAGAAGTTGGCTGATATCAACTCCAAGATTGAGAACCTAAACTCTCTGCAAAGCTTAGGGCAATTACCTGGTAAAGCCATTCAGAACCCCAAGGAACATTGCAAGGTCATCTTCACTCAAGAAGGGCTTGATGAAGAAAGGGGTCAAGAAAGAGTAATGGAAGAGTTTTGTATGCTGCTGAATGACGACGAGATGTTGCTGCTGAGGCTCCCGGAGTCCAGAATGATCAACCCGAAGTGCAACCTACTCCTATAGCCATTAACACTTCACCAGTTGAGCTCGCACAACAAGCTCGATCGGCAGCTCGATCGAGTCGAACTCTAGCTCGATCGAGTCAGGAACCATTAATCCTCCAACCGATTTTACTTGATTCATACCAGCCAGTTGATCCATCCTCAGGTCGCCTACTCAGTCAAGGCCATAAGGAAGTGATTCACAAGTTTAGAAGAGACCTTAGTGAAGTTGGAGTTGAGTTGCCCTCTATGGAAAGTATGAGTGAGGCATTTGAACAATTGCAATTGATTCAAGATGTTATGGCTAATATAGAAAACGTTTCCCACCTTGTGGAGAAGTCCACACAAGAACTGAACCTACTTACCTCACCAACATTTCTGCCAAAGGCGAAAGATCAAGGGAAATTCACTCTCCCTTGCACACTTGGCCACCTTGAGCTTAAAATGCCTTGGTGGATTCTGGAGCTAGTATCAACCTCATCTCCCTCACAATGGCTCAGAAACTCAGTATTCATGGAGCATTGCAGCGCCCTACTATTTCAATCATGTTTGGAGATGCCACTTCTAAGTCTCCTCTTGGTGTATTCAAGAACTATCCTTTGAAAGTGGGAGAATGTATTGTCAAAACTGATCTCACTGTCTTGGAGATGAAAGAAGAGAAAGATGTAGCTCTCATCTTGGGAACTCCTTTCCTTAGTAAAGTTGGCGCCTCAATTGATTTTCACAAGCAAGAAGTGATACTCCACAAGGTGAATAGTTTGGTCTCATACCGCTTGCAGCCTAGAGGACCTGAGTATTGTGGTACAATTGAAAGCAATCCTCTAAGATCCAAGAGTCCTGAAATTGCTAAGGTTGCGAAGGAAAAGGTTGACAAGGAGGCAAGAGTTGTGCGAGATAAGGTTGAAAAGGATCAACGAGTTGAGAAAGGTTCAAGGACTGAGAAACCACGACTTGAGCGTCTACGACTTTAGAAACCGAGACCTGAAAGGCCAAGAGCTGATCGCCTTGTTCATGTGCCTTGTGTGCTTGATGAAGAGACCCTTCAAGCTTTGTTTGATGAGCCACTAGGAATGGCTCAAAAGGAAGGGGAGGATGCAGCCTCTAAGGGACGACCAGGTGATAAGAGGAAAGATCCACCTGTTCAGGCCTCTTCAGTCAAGCCATCCCAGCTTACATCTCAGCTCACTATGACCTTGTTCCCCACCAAGTATGAAAATGGGAAGATTGAGTACAAGATAAGGTACAAAGGGAGATCAAGACCTTTCTCTAGAGCCAAAACCTTGGTCACTTCAGAGCAATCCAGGGATCCAACCAAGCTAAAGGAGCTTCTGTCTCAAGTCCTCACTATCACCCTTGATGGTGGGACTAGCTCAACCAATGCCTAAAAGGTAAAGGTCAAGCTATGAGACCTTAAACAAGCTTACTTGGGGGGAAGTCCCATGTCTATCCTTGTATATAGTCTTTATTTCAATTTCTATCTAGTATTTCGTGTCTTAACCCTTGCAGGAAGTTAAGTTTATGTGAAAAGAAGCCAGCTCGACCGACAACTCGATCGAGCAAGAAACAACTGAAACTTCCATTCCAAGTCTTCGAAGGATACAATGTCCGGCGAACGTCGAGATGAAGAGATATGGATATGTTTTAATTCAACTACGTTTAATTTCATCTCCTCTTTCTTATGATGTCTCTTTTATTGCATTTGCTTGTGTTTACATTCATGTGTAGTGAGTAGTTACCCATTGGGGTTTGAGATGGGATAGATTAGAGGTTTCATATGCTTAATCCTTCTAGCTTATGGTCTTAATCTAGATTCTCTCTCTTTTGGATAGATCTTAAGGCTACATGACCACTACCCCTGGCTTGTAAGTCCTTAGGCGACTCCCCACACGAAAGTGATGGCATTCGCTGGAAAAGATCCACTAAGAGCTCCAATATCTCTTGCTCTAGAAATAGAGGTCTAAGGGGTTGGATGGATTAGTTTGGGCAATGATCCTATAGCCTCCAAGGTTTGATTCTCACTGGCTAACCCCCTGTTTCTGAGATCATTCCTTGGTTGATAACCTTCACCTTGGGAAAGGGTTGGTTAGGCATTGAGAAGCCCAATATCAAGAGAAGCCTTGATACAAGGAGTTTTAAGAGCTGGATGGATTAAGTGTAGATTCCTTTGATTGCAAAACCCTGTCTTGAACCCTAATTCTCGCATTATCTTGTTAAAGTCGTCACCTTTAGCTTTTTGTCTCAACTCGTCCCAAACTCGATCGAGCTGGTACTTTGTTCTGACTCGACTCGAGTTCTTGGTCGAGCTGTTACTTCACGCTTTATTTACTTTCTGCATTTCATTTCTGTTTCATTTAGGTTGTTAGTGTTACCAAAAATCACTTACTGCTTGCTTGACTTCCTGGTTGTTTCATATTCTCATAGAGTGAGTTTGTTGCATTTGAGTTTCAAACGCACTTGGACGATCAAGCTATACCACCCCTGTTCTATTGTACTGCTGGGTTTTTGTCTCTTTTTGCAGGTGTATGCGAACTCGATCGAGTCGGTCTACTGAGGACTTGGTCGAGCTAGACTTTACAACGGGTAGAAAGAAGGTTCAGAGGTCACAGAGGGTACAAGAGGAACCTGAGGTGCTTGTTGCTGATACAATGGATGTACCAGAGGGGAATGGAAACCCTTTGGGAAATGGACTCGGTCGAGCTAGGCAAACTCGACCGATTGGTCAAGGAGATGCTCCAAACCGCCACCAACAGAGACAAGGGATTGTTCCACCACCAGTGCAGAACCACAACTTTGAGATCAAGCTGGGAATGATCAACCTTGTCCAGAACAAGATGTTCCATGGATTGCCAAGTGAAGACCCCATTGACCACCTTGATGAGTTTGATAGGCTTTGTGATTTGACAAAGATCAATGGTGTCTCTGAAGATGCCATCAAGCTGAGACTCTTTCCTATGTCTCTAGCTGACAAAGCTCACCAATGGGAGAAGAGCTTGCCCCATGGCACAATCACCACTTGGGATGAATGCAAGAAGGCCTTTCTTGCTAAGTTTTTCTCCACCGGTCGCACAGCCAAGCTTAGAGGAGAGATATCCAGCTTCATCCAGCGAAACAATGAGACATTCGCAGAGGCTTGGGAGAGGTTCAAAGGCTACACAAGTCAGTGCCCACACCATGGATTCAACAATGAATCACTACTCTCTACTCTTTATAGAGGATGCTTGCCTAGGTATAGGGAGATGCTAGACACAGCTAGCAATGGGAACTTCCTCAACCAGGATGTAGATGATGGCTGGCAACTTGTGGAGAACATAGCTAACTCAAATGGAAGCTATGGAGAAGAGTATGATCGCACCAATCGGAGCTCGACCCACCACTCGATCGAGTCAGACGAAAAGTTGAGAAAAGATGTTAAGGCATTGAATGAGAAGTTGGATAAGCTGATCCTAGCTCAGTCCACAATGAAGAAAGTCAACTTTGTGTCTGCTGAGGAGATGGAACCAGTCCAAGAAGGGGAGGATACACAATTTGCTGAGGTGTGCTACATGAGCAATGGGCAAGGAGGTTACAACAAAGGATACTATAATTACAAGTCCAACCCTGCCATGTCATACCGCAACACTGATGTTGCTAACCCTCAGGACCAAGTATATCCTCAACAACAAGCAGCTCGATCGAGTCAGGTGCCACAACATGGGTATGGTCAAAAGAACAATTACCAAGGACCACAAGGCACTTTCCCTGGACAACAAATGAATATCCCACCAGGCTTCCCCACCAACCACCCCAGCCTGCACCTTCACAAGAGAATGAGCTCAAGGCAATGCTAAAGCAACTACTTCAAGGGCAAGCTGATGGGGTAGTGGACACAAGCAAGAAGCTAGCTGAAATAAACTCTAAGATCGAGAACCTCAACACAAGGGTTTACTCTCTGGAGAATCATGCTTCTTCTGTTGCTGCTGCTACAAAGCAAGGACAACTACCTGGTAAAGCTATTCAGAACCCCAAGGAACAGTGCAAGGTCATCTTCACTCAAGAAGGACTTGTTGAAGAAGAGGATCAAGAAAGGGTCATTGAAGATTTTTGTTTACTGCTGAATGATGAAGAGATTGTTGCTGCTGAGGCTCCTGGAGTCCAGATTGATCAACCAGAAGTGCAGGCACCTACTGTGGCCATTCACACTTCACCAGTTGAGCTCGCACAACAAGCTCGATCGGCAGCTCGATCGAGTCCAACTCTAGCTCGATCGAGTCCGACCTCTTCTGTCCGACAGCCAGTTTTGCTTGATCCTTACCAACCGGTTGCCGCTTCCTCGTCTCGCCTACTTAGTCAAGGTCACAAGGAAGTGATTCACAAGTTCAGAAGAGATCTCAGTGGGATTGGAATTGAGTTGCCTCTATGGATAGCATGAGTGAGGCATTTGATCAAATGCAAATGGTCAAGGATGTTCTAGCCAACAGTGATAAAGTTTCAGAGGTCCTACAAGAGTCTACTCATCAGTTCAACCTGCTTACTTCACCCACCTTCCTACCAAAGGTCAAAGGATCAAGGGAAATTCACTCTCCCTTGCACACTTGGGCATCTTGAGATTGACAATGCCTTAGTGGATTCTGGAGCAAGCATCAATCTGATCTCTCTCTCCATGGCAGAGAAGCTAGGCATTGCTGGACCTTGCAGCGCCCTACTACTTCAATCATGTTTGGAGATGCAACTTCTAAGTCTCCTCTTGGAGTGTTCAAGAACTATCACTTGAAAATTGGAGAATGCATCATCCAAACTGATCTCACTGTGATGGAAATGGAAGAAGAGAAGGATCTACCTCTGTTATTGGGAACCCCATTCCTTAGTACAGTTGGCGCTTCAATAGACTTTCACAAGCAAGAAGTGATCCTTCACAAGGTGAATAGTTTGGTGTCATATCGCTTGCAGCCTAGAGGTTCAGACTTTTGTGCCACAATTGACAGTACCAACTCTCAGTTCTAAGAGTCATGGAGCTACAAAGGTTGTGAAGGAAAGGGTTGACAAAGAACCAAGAGTTGGGAAGGATAAGGATGAGAGAGGACCAAGGATTGAGAAGCCACGTCTTGAGAGGGCTAGAGTTGAGAAACCACGTTCTGAGAGACCACGAGCTGATAGACTTGTTCAAGCCCCTTGTGTGCTTGATGAAGAAAGCCTTCAAGCTTTGTTTGATGAGCCACTAGGAAGGGCTCTAAAAGAAGGGGAGGATGTAGCCTCTAAGGCAAGACCAGGGATAAAAGAAAAGATCCACCAGCTCAGGCCCCTTCATTCAAGCCATCTCAGCTCACAATGACTTTGTTCCCCACCAAGTTTGAAAATGGGAAGATTGAGTACAAGATAAGGTACAAGGGGAGATCAAGGCCATTCTCTAGAGCCAAAGCCTTGGTGACTTCAGAACAATCCAGGGACCCAACCAAGCTAAAGGAGCTTCTGTCTCAAGTCCTCACTATCACCCTTGATGGTGGGACTAGCTCAACCAATAAAGGTCAAGCTATGGGACCTTAAACAAGCTCACTTGGGAGGAAGTCCCATGTTTATCCTTGTACATATTCTATTTATGCAATTTCTTCTAGTATTTTGTGTTTTAACCTTTGAATAAGTTAAGTTTAGGTGTCAAGAGAGCCAGCTCGACCGACAGCTCGATCGAGCCTAGAACAAGGGCAACTCGACCGAGTAAGTTTTTGAATTTCAAATTCATAACCGTTTTCTTGGTCAAGGGAGTGGGTCCCACAAGCTGATTTTGGTCCCCCACTACCCTAATTTGATCAGAAAACCCTAGCTTCTTGTCCCCTCTTTATTTCACTTTTAATCTCAACCACACATCTCAAACACTCCCTCTTCCCCATAACTCGATCGAATCCCACTCTCCCACACCCTAAATTTTCTGAAAACCATCTCTCTCTATCTTCACCACAAGAAGAAAAATCGATTTCCTCTCTTCTCTCCTAAGTTTTTGCGATTTCTATTGTTGCTCTTCTTGTTTTGCTTAGTTATAGCTACTGTGATTCTTCCATCATTCAAGCAAGGTATGAACCCAACCCTTGAATCCTTCATCTCGATTCCTCTCTATTGCTTTTTTCTCTTATTTTGATTGCATGTGTCCCTTGAGGACTTGTCCTTGAGTAATTGCTTTCCTTTATTCTTCATATTTGTATAATCTTGTGAATTTGCCTCACCTCACCTCTGTTTTATCATTAGAACTTGTTGCATGTGCTTGAAATTTTGAATTTGAGTTTGGTATTGGTTAAGTTGCTAGTGCTTCACTAGAATTGCCCATTGTTCCAAATACTGTTGTTATTGGTTCAATTTGATTGTCAAGAACCTTTTCCAGCTTTGTTTGATTTAGGTCGGTTATACTCTGTTTCACTTGACTCGATCGAGTTTGTCACTCGAGTTTTTTTACTCGATCGAGTTGGGTGTCGAGTTGGCCGAACCAACGATTACAACTCTAATTACCTTGAGTTTTTGATGCATTTCAGGAACCCAACTTCAAGAAGCAACCATTTTAAGATGTTGAGAGGTGAAGGAAGCAAGCCAACATTCACAAAGAGGGAGGTAACAAGAGGAGCAAGGAGGATACTCAAGACACTAACCAAGGAGGATGAGGAAGAGATTGAGAGGGTGAGGGAAGAGAGAAGAACCAAGAGAAGGAATGATCCTATCAGCAGTGAGAGCGAAGTAGGAGAGTTTGAAATTGGGGTGAACATCCCACATGAGGAGGATGATGAGTCCCCAAGTGAAGAAGAGGGTGAGGAGGTCAATCAAGAGATTGAGGAGAGTGAGCATGAGAGCAATGAGAATGTGCCATGGAAGAGGAGGAGTCAGAGGAAGAAGAGGATGAGCTCCCCATGTACCAAGAGCATTATGATGCTCTCTTCTCCATGGACTTTGTGGAGACCAAGTACCCACATGATGACACAATGAGGGCTCTTGGGATCTTTGTTGATGTGGAGCTGGTCCTCAAAACATGCGCTTGGCCAAGTTTTTCTCTTACCGCTTGGAGTCATACAAGGAGTTCACTTGTGAGTTCTTGGCATCAATGAGGTTCCACAAGTACAGGCAGCTCGATCGAGCTGAGTTGGATCAAGGTTGGGGATGGATCACGTTCTTGGCAAGAGGAGAAAGGAAGACAGTAACCTTCAGACAATTGGAGATCCTTTTCGGTTTCACTTATGGGGAGGGAACCCATTGGGATATCAAGGAGGATGAGCTACAAGGGGTTTGGGCTACAATCGCTGATGGAGTATACTCTTCCTCACGGTCTAAGGCAGCTCAAATCAGGAGCCCAGTGTTGAGATATGTGCACAAGGCTCTCGCCAACACCTTCTTGCAAGAAAGGCGACTGGGACAATAAATGAGGGAGAAGTGAAGCTCCTTGACATGGGAATCAAGCCCATCATCTCACGCACCAAGGATGGGAAGAAGATCAGGGGAGATAGAATCCATGCGGGGAACCTCATGCCTCTCATTGACCAGCTACTCTCCTACATGACAACCGCCTATAGCACTCGGTTTCAAACGGAAAGGAAGCTTAGTGTTGGAGGAGTCATCACGCCTATCCTCTGTGCCGCTGGAGTCCATTTGGAAAAGAGAAGGTCTACTCCAGCAGGGTGGATGGATATTAAGTTTTGCAAGACCAATCTCTTCATTGAACACAAGGAGTTGGATGGGAGGTTCCAATTCAAATTCACTCACCCTTTGGCTGGCCCCTCCAAGCGACCCTGAGCTCACCACGGTTCTAGGAGGTACCAACATTGACTTCAGCCCCCCACTTTACACATTAGTTGCGCATGAAGAGGATTTGCGAGAAGAGGAGCCTGAACTCGATCGAGCTGAGGATCGAGCTGCGGACAACACCCATGTGAATGCGGATTTGGGCGAGCCTGATTGCTACTACTTTGAGGAGTATGAGGCTCCTAGGATGAACCCCTCTATTGTGGCTGCCCACAAGAGTATTGGACTTCTCCAAAGGTTCAACAAGTGGCAAGGGAAAGCCATGGAAAAGATGCAAAAGTCCATAGACAAGATGGTGAGTAAGATCAAAAGCTTGGAGAAGAAAGTTTCTGGTTCTTCAAGGAAGAAGAAGAAGGGACCCATGACTCCCACTTTTCCTAGGAGTAGCACTACAAGAAACGCGGCGTTTAACGTCACTTTAATAACGTTACTTTTCAATCTGACGTTAAATAAACTTAAGTGATGTTATTTTGCATCACATTTTTAACTGACGCGGCTTATAACGACACTTTTGTAGAGTTAGTTTTAAAATGACGGTAGATAAAATAAAGTGAAGTAAAGTAGTGTCAAAAAAGTAAATGACGTAAAATCCCTTCTTCCCGTTTATTTAGATATATCATTAAAAAAAAAAAAATAGAAACTCTAATTAGAACGGTGACGATTTTATCCCATATTGCTGGATTTCGTGAGTTATCGATCATCTTCGTCAATCCTTCTTCGTCAATCCTTCTCAAATTTATCCCATATTGCTGGATTTCGTGTGAATTATCGATCATCTTCGTCAATCTCGCCTGATCTTCTTCGATTCTAAGCATCTCTGTTTCCTTCTCATCCTAAAAGGTTCAAAAATCTAATTGATTAGATCTGAGTGAAATTGATCGAGCTCCTCTCAACTTTTCCGAAGAACAAAGCTAATAAGGTTAAAATTTCGTAGGGTTTTGTTGTGTTTCTGATTGATTAGAGAATTTTAGTTACTAATTTGTGTCATGTGAATACTTTTTTTTGTTAAGGGTTTCGGTGGCTCTGGAGGTGACGAAACTGGATTTGGATTTCTGCAACTCATAACACAAATTGATCTGGTAACAGCTCGAGCAATTTCTATTTTAAATTTTGAATTGATGAAGTGATCTCTAAAGTGTCTTCTTTCTCCACCGAATCCACACGAAACCTGAAATATGAATCCTACTTGAAATATGAACTCTACTTAAAATATGAATCATACTTGGAATATGAACTCTATTTTAAATATGAATCATACTTGGAATATGAACTCTACGATCTTCTGGGTTTTTTCATGCTTAGTTGTGATTTCGAATTTTCAATGATTAGTATGTGTGGCTCATGGATTGTTAAGATGAAATGTTTGGCTAAGCAAAGAGAAACTATTTGTTTAACCAATGCTAAGGAACCATTATTGTCTTTTGTGAAGATTTTATACACCTTAATATATATATATAAGAGTCAGAACCTCTCTTTGATCTTGTTTTATTATGGAAATAAGCTTTCTCTGGTTTAAAAGATATGTGATATGATGTTAGTTATGGAAAGATATGTGATATGATCTTGTTTGAATCATTTGCTTAACATTCTTCTTCCTTGTGATATGATCTTTTTCTATTGCTTCTTGGTATGCAACATCCTCTAATATTTTTAAGTGTTTTATGTTTCATGTAACTCATTGGAGAAAGGGAAAAAGGCATAGACGGTTTTGACAAGAACAGAGGACCATCAAAGAAGTAGACAAAAGCAGCTTAACTTTTACAAAGGTAATTCTACAATCTTACGCTGTTTAGTTAGATGTTTACTTACTGGTGTTAGAATGTGATTGCTCTTACTATGCTCTGTGGTATTAGTCTTGCTGGTGTTAGAATGTGATTGCTCTTACTATGCTCTGTGGTATTAGTCTTGCTGGTGTTAGAACGTGATTGCTCTTACTATGCTCTGTGGTATTATAGTCTTGCTGTTAATTGCTCTTACTATGCTCCGTGATTGAACGTGAAAAGCTTCTTACAAGCTTTTTAATTGGTTTGTTTTATTGGTAGATTTATTCTAAAATGGATAAGTCTTGGATAACAAAACGTCGGTTATCTCAAGATTACATAAGTGGAGTCAATCAGTTTTTGGATTTTGCCTTTGAAAATATGAAGACCAGTATGATCAAATGTCCTTGTCAGCGTTGCTGCCTTGTTAGACACAAGGTTAGGGTCGAGGTTGAGGGTGATTTATTCTATCACGGTTTTCTGCCAACGTATACAAATTGGTATCTGCATGGTGAAGAGTTAGATTCAAATGGGGAGACAGTTAGATTAGAGTCTGAATCTCGTGTAGATTATACAGAAGTCCTGAGTATGAATCTGCTTGAAGATGTTTTCCCAAGTATGAATAATAGTATTGACGATGACGATGCTGCCAGTCCCACAGAGGATCATCCAAAGCAGAAGGAGGCGCTTGATGATTTGCTAGCAGACTGTAATCAAGCTCTTTATGAAGGATGTGAGTCTTTTAGCAAGCTGTCATTCATGCTTAAGCTGTATCACATCAATTGTATGTGTAGGATAAGTGACAAAGAAATGTCCATGGTAATAGAGCTCTTGAAAGAAGCATTTCAGCATGCAAAGCTACCAGATTCTTTCAATGACATGAAGAAGATTATTCGTAAGTTAGGATTCACATATGAGACCATTCATGTGTGTCGTAATGATTGCATGTTATATTGGGGAGATGATGCATCTAGACACACATGTAAAGTTTGTGAAAGCTCAAGATGGAAGACGGCTGCAATAGTTGATGATGATGGATCCGCTGAAGAAGAAGAAGAAGAAGAAGCAACAAGCTGCTAAAGTTCTCCGATATTTTCCTTTGAAACCACGATTACAGCGTTTTTTCATGTCATCAAAGACGGCTGAAAGCATGAGGTGGCATGCTAATTCTGAGAATCTAGATGGCAAGCTAAGACATCCTAGAGATGGAAAGGCTTGGAAAACCTTTGATCAACAATTTCCAGAGTTCTCATCAGAGCCGAGGAATGTCAGGCTAGGATTGGCAACAGATGGTTTTAATCCGTATGGTTCTATGAGCATGAGCTATAGTGTATGGCCTGTGCTTTTATTCCCTTATAACCTTCCTCCGTGGATGTCAATGAAGCAAACATCAACAATTTTGTCAATGATTATCCCTGGGAAGCAGATGCCGGGTAATGATATTGACATCTATCTACAGCCCCTTATCAAAGAATTGAAAGAGTTATGGTCTGATGGAGTTCCAACATTTGATGCATCTTTAAAAGAGACATTTACAATGCGTGCGATTTTGCTATGGACTATTAGTGATTATCCAGGTTTAGGAAACTTATCTGGGTGGAACGTACACACTGGATTAGCTTGTCCATCTTGCAACTATGATGCTAAATATCTTCGTTTACGGCATGGGAAGAAGAATTGTTACATGGGACATAGGCGGTTTCTTCCTGAAAATCATGTTTTCCGAAAAGATAAGCAGCAATTTGATGGTCTTATTGAAACAAGAGATTCTCCCATTACACCATCAGGAAGTGTTATTCTCCAACAAATTCAGAATGTGGATGTTACTTTGGGGAAGAAGATAGATGCTGTGGGAAAAAGGCGCCGGGAAGATGTAATACTTCAATGGAGAAAGAGAAGCATTTTTTTTAGTTACCTTATTGGAAACATCTTCTCTTGCGTCACAATCTGGATGTGATGCACATAGAGAAGAATGTTATTCCTGAATAATCTCATTTTTCAATTATTCAACCATTTCATTTTACCAAGTTCAATGTTAGCCAGATTAGTCAACATTTATATGTTTCGATGCAACAACAAGATGTTATTTGTAACAAGTAGTTTTGTTGGTTGGTTAATTGGTCACATTTTATTCATGAAATGGGTTGGATTGGTATTAGTCTGGATACAGCAAAATAATTCTATTAGGTCTAATGTACTTATTAGATCTAATAAGTATAAGTTCCTTGTGTCAGAATTGAGAAATTCTATGGCTCGAATCTTTAGTATTCTCTTATTTATTACCTGTGTCTACTATTTAGGCAGAATACCATCACCCATTTTTACTAAGAAACTAAAAGGAACCTCCGAAACGGAAGAAAGGGGTGGGACTAAACAGGACCAAGAGGTATCAACCGAAGAAGCTCCTTTTCCTTCTCTTTTTTCGGAAGAAAGGGAGGATCTGGACAAAATCGATGAAATGGAAGAAATCCGAGTGAATGGAAAAGACAAAATGAATAAGGATGATGAATTCCACGTTCGAACATACTATAACTATAAAACAGTTTCTGAAAATCGAGATGGAAATAAAGAAAATTCGAATTTAGAATTTTTTAAAATAAAAGAGGATACTTTTTTTTGGTTTGAAAAACCTTTTGTAATTCTAGTTTTCGATTATAAAAGATGGAATCGACCAAATCGATATATAAAAAATGATAAAATTGAAAATACTGTCAGAAATGAAATGTCACAATATTTTTTTTATACATGCAGAAGTGATGGAAAAGAGCGAATATCTTTTACATACCCCCCCAACCTTGCCACTTTTTTTGAAATGATAAAAAAAAAAATACCTTCATTTACAAGAGAAAAGGCACCCTCTGATCAAGTTTCTACTTGTTGGAGTTTGATAAATGAAGAAAAAAGGGAAAATTTAAAAAACGAATTTTTCAATCGAATTGAAGCTTTAGATAAGCAATGGTCTGTTGAAAATATACTGGAAAAAAGGACTCGATTTTGTCATAATCAAACTAAAAAAGAATATTTACCGAAAATTTATGATCCATTTTTGCACGGGATCCTCCGCGGAAGAATCAAAAAATTAGCTCCATTCCAAATCATAACCGAAAGCTATATAAAAAATAATATAGGAGGATCTTGGATAAACAAGATTCATGGTATACTTTTAAAGATTAATTCTCACAAATTTGAGCAAACAATAGAAAAATTTAATAGAAAATCTCTGTCAATAGAGAAAAAACTTTCTTTTTTTTCAGAACCCCAAGAAGAAAAAATTCATTCAGAAGAAGAAATAAAAATTTTCAAATTTTTATTTGATGTCGTTATAACTGATAACAACGATCAAACTCTTATAAAAAATTTTATTGATATCCGTGAAATAACTAAAAAAGTTCCTCGATGGTCATACAAATTAACAAGTGAATTCGAAGAATTGGAAGGCGAAACTGAAGAAAATGTACCAACGGAGCCCGGAATTCGTTCAAGAAAAGCAAAACGTGTAGTGGTTTTTACTGATCAAGAGCCGGATAACAAGCTTTATCCTAATCTCAAAGATAATCAAAATTCGGATCAAAAAGATGAAATGGCTTTGATCCGTTTTTCACAACAATCTGATTTTCGTCGAGAGATAATTAAAGGATCCATGCGTTCCCAAAGGCGTAAAACTGTTATTTGGGAATTTTTTCAAGCAAAAACACACTCGCCCCTTTTTTTTGATAGAATAGATAAACTTTTTGATTTTTCATTTGATATACGGGGGCTCAAAAAAACAATTCTTAGAAATTTCATGTGGAAAAAAAAAAAAAAAAAAAATTATAAAAAAGAGGAAGAAGAATCAAAAATAGAAGAAAAAAGACGGATAGAAATTGCAGAAACTTGGGATAGCTTCCAATTTGCTCAAATAATAAGAGGTTCTCTCTTATTAACTCAATCTATTCTTAGAAAATATATTATAGTACCTTTATTGATAATAATAAAAAATAGCATCCGGCTATTATTATTTCAACTCCCCGAGTGGTCTGAGGATTTAAAGGATTGGAAACGTGAAATGCATATTAAATGTACTTATAATGGGGTTCAACTATCCGAAACTGAATTTCCAAAAAACTGGTTAACGGATGGTATTCAGATAAAAATCCTATTTCCTTTTTATCTTAAACCTTGGCATAAATCTAAATTTCAATCATCTCCGAAGGCTCGGCTAAAAAAAAGAAAAGACAAAGGAGAAAAAAACAATTTTAGTTTTTTAACGGTTTGGGGAATGGAAACAGAACTGCCGTTTGGTTCGGCCAAAAAAAAGCCTTCTTTTTTTGAGCCTATTTCTAAAGAATTAAAAAAAAGAATCAAAAAATATAAAACGAAGTCTTTTCTGGTTTTAAGGATTCTCAAAGAAAGAGCAGCCATTTTCCTAAAAGTCGCAAAAGAAATCCAAAACTGGATTATCAAAAACTTTCTTTTTCTAAAAGGAAAAATAAACAACCTTTCAAAACAAAATCTAATTCCATTAGTTGGACCGAGAGAAATATATGAATTAACTGAAACTAAAAAAGATTCAATAATGAGTAATCAGATGATTCATGAACTATCTGTTCAAAAAAAATCCACGGAGTGGACAAATTCTTCACTCAGTGAAAAAAAAAAAAAAAATTTGATTTATAGAATAAAGACAATCAGAAATCAAACAGACGAAATTGCAAAAGAAAAAGAAAACCTAACTAATAGTTGTAATAAACCGTGTTATGATTTTCAAATAATTGAGTCATCAAAAAAAAGTTGGCAAACATTAAAAAGAAAAAATACCCGATTAATTCGTAAATCTTTTTTTTTTTTTAAATTTTGCATTGAACAACTGTCTCTAGTTATTTTTTTAGGTATCATTAATATTCCAAGAATTACTACACAACTTTTTTTTGAATCAACAAAAACAATTCTTGATAAATATATTTACAAGAATGAAGAAAATGGAGAAAAATTTAATAAAAAAAAAAAAACCATTTATTTTATTTCGACTATAAAAAATTTAATATCAAAAAAAAAAAAATGGAATTCTGACCTATGCTTTTTATCACAAGCATATGTATTTTACAAATTATCACAAATTCAAATTAGTAACTTTGCTAAATTAAAGGCTATTCTTGAATATAACATATGCATAACATCCTCTTTTGTTAAGAATCAACTAAAGGATTTTTTTCAAGAACAAGGAATCTTTCATTATGAATTGAAAGACAAAACCTTTTGTTTTTCTGAAGTAAATCCATGGAAAAACTGGTTACGAAGTCATTCTCAATACAATTTACCTCAGATTGCATGGGCTAGATTAGTAACTCAAAAATGGAAAAAGAAAATAAACCAAGACTCCCCAGTTTTAAATCCAAGTTTAACCAAAAAAGATTCATATGAAAAAAACAAATTTGATAATTACAAAAAACAAAAATTTTTTGAGGCCGACTCATTATTAAATAAAAAAAAAAAATTAAAAAAAGATTGTATATATAATTTTTTTTGCTACAAATCTATTAATTCTGCAGAAAAAAATTTTGACATGTCTTCTATAGGGATTACTCCAAATAATTGTTTAGTCTCTTGTTTTCTAGAAAAATATAATATTCGGGGTATAGGGGAAGTTGGGTATAGAAAATATTTAGATTGGAGAATTCTCCACTTTTGGTTTATAAAAAAACTAAATATTGAGCCCCGGGTTGATACCACAAGTAAAAAAATATATAGTCAGACTCAAGTTCAGAATTATCAAAGAATTGATAAAATAACTCCGCCGGGTCTTGCCAATCAAAAAAGAAACTTTTTTGATTGGATGGGAATGAATGAAGAAATACTAAATCCTCGTGTAACAAATTTTGAATTTTTTTTCTTTCCGGAATTTTTCTTATTTTCTAGTACATATAAAATGAAACCATGGGTCATACCAATTAAATTACTTCTTTTCAATTTTACTGAAAAAAAAAAGTGTTAATAAAAAGATCACTCTAAAGAAAAAAGGTTTTATAGGATCAAATGCAAAAAAATCCCTTCGATTTTATAATCTAAATAAAGAAGAAAAAGAATCCCATAGTTCCAACTCTATCTTCCTTGAGATGTTTCCATGCCTTCTTTAGCATTGCATCTTGACCAACAATTATCTGTTGAGGTTGTATTTCCTCTATCACAGCTGACTCAGCTTGATCAGTAACCTTTTGAAAAACTATACTACGGAGTTCCTCAACCTCCTTCAACGTCAAGAAAACATCTTTCCCGTAACGATAACTGGACCTTAAACTCTTAGAGCAAAACCCACAAAGACACAGCCTTTGGAGTTCATCATCTCTAGCACTAAGAAGATCATTGACTTTTTTTTCGATAGTCTCAACTCTCTTAAGCCATACCTTGATTTCGGCAAGCCTTTGCTGACGTCTATCCTCCTCCTCTCTTGTGACCCTTCTTGACAAATCATCACGCTTAGCCTTGAGCTCTTCCATGGTTGTCACCAGAGCCTTGAGATTCTCCTCTAGATTATGTATATAACCTACTTTCTTGTCAATCCAGTTAGAGATTTTATCAATACACGGATCACAAGGTACGGAGAAAGGGTTGCCCATTTTGCTGAAAGGAAAAGAGAACTTAGATTTGAGAATTTTACTGATGTGACCAAATCCGGAGAAGATGCAAAGAATAATTGAAGTCTGAAGATAAGTCTTTCATTCTCCTCCACAATCCTCCGATCGAATGGGTCCAAATCACTGATTTTTCTTGGAAATTTTGCTTATTCGATTTCCATAATTCTCACGTTCACACACTTGGTCATTGACTTTGGTGGGGCAATGGGCATATATACTAATCACCGAACAAGAACAACACTTGAGAATCTTCGTTGATAATTAATTGAAATTCCTGATAATTAACTTCCTTTGATTATTAATTCCATAATAACGGTTGTTGACGTTGGTGGGACATATATAGTTGACTGAAGAAGAAAACTTGAGACTTACGTAAAATCCAATTCCCACCAGAGCTTCGGCGGGAACGTAACTCGGTGGTCGTCTTCAAGAGGAACAGAAACCTCCATCATGTCAACCTGATGGAGAGCGGAAGCTAGATAAACTCGATGATCGTTGATTCCCAAGAATAGCCGTTCAAACGAGGGTTCTTGATAATCGTTGATTCTCAAAGAATACCGATAACAAGGATAAGATGAACTGAAAAGTTCTATGTTTATTCAATAATCATAAGCTGTCTTACAATAGAACCTAGTGGCTAACTTATATACTTAAACGAAACCCCTAACGTAGTTAAGAAACAGAGTCGAAAGCCCAAATGAAAGAAAAGCCCAATAACAAATAAAAGGCAACATCACGGTGAAGATCATGGAGACATGATCGAGTGAAGATGCGCTGCATCAGGTCCCCCGGGGTAAGAAAAGATTCGTCCTCGAATCTGGATCATTGTCAAAGCAGGCAAGCGGAATTACTCCACCAACAATAGCAGATCAAATACACACGCACAGATGTTGTTACACTAACGGTAACGTAGCTTGGGACATTGAGTGTTGGGAAGTGAACACCAATCCTCATTTTGGAGACTAAAACTGTATATTCCACCAATAGTTGTAGAAATGTCAACAAAGAACTCCAACTGCGTGATTCGCATGACAAGTCCTTCACAATGACGAAGACAATAAAACCTAGTTTGCTTGGTGCAAAATCAGCCACAAAACACCACAAAACCACCCATATTGGCTTCGGCTGGTCACGTATACATCCCTTGTCCACGTTTGAGAACGCTGATTGCTCAAGCACCTCGATTAAGCTCAAATGTAACGCCTCCTTACTATGAACTTTCGTAACATCGTAAGAGAATCCCACTGGTGAGATATGAACATTGCTCTTTCTCTTTAAAGAAGCTTCATATGGTAACTGATATTGGGACGGCCTAGTAGAACAAAACAAAAGCTCTTGTAAATCTCCAAAACTGAGTTTCCCTAGGATCTTCAGAACAAGCCGACGAATACAACTACATGGTCGCATCCAATGACGAAACCACTTTGTAACCAGCGAGTGCCAAATGTAACTACAAACCTCAACGTTCACAGAAATTATCCATGCGAGAAGATGCATGTTGTTCGTTTGGTCTGAAACGTGAATATCATACTCATGTGACCCAAAAGCAACGTCCACTCGCCTCAAACCCCTTGCGATGTCATAAGAGAGTCTAAATCGAGTCGTACGCATAGCTCCATATACTCTGTTATAAACGTCATAGTAGAAGCCACGTCGTAACGGAGTGAGAAAGAAGAATCTCCACTGCACCGTTGTGAACCTTGGAGGCAGGGAAAACATCATGTTTTGATCCCAAAGCGGACGCTTAAAGGAAAACTCTTTCCAGCAAATTACCATGTCGTCGACTACAAGATATTCCAGCTGAAATCCATGATGAGAAGAGTAAGGTAAAGAATAATGCGAACTCCAGACTTCCGTAAGCTTCAAGTCAAAAAGCTCCAAGAAAAGACAATGATCATAAGAAGTCACATCTTCACAATTTAGATCCCACTCAACGCACGTGTATCTCATTATGTTCCCAAAGAGATCCACCGTTGCCAACACATAAAGATTTTCCTGCCATGTGGCTTGTAAAGCAACAATTTGCTTTATTAATTCCCACGTGATAATGGACAATCCATTGCATGGTGGTAATAGCAAAATAGAGGTGTTGCAACAGACATGAAAAACAGAGCTATCGTAAAACAATAACTTGGGTGATTGACAGATAACCTCACGCCATTGAATATATGTATTAGACGTGTCTTGATAAACCCATATTGTGTGACACAAAACAGCCATTTTCCACGTTAAATTTCCACATTGCAACCCACAAAGCCACAAAACGGTCGGAAAGAACACAATTGGCATGATCGTAGACGTGAAAAGGAGAAGCCCAAAAGCTTTGGGATTCCATGGTGGCCACAAAAACTTGAGCTCCTCTTTACTAGCCATGGTAGCGGCACCTTGAGACATTAAGAACCAGAAAAGAGAGAACAAACAAGTAGTTTGTGGGACTTTCACAAGCGGTGCTTCACCAATGTCACTGTGAATTGAAAACTCCACGGAAAACACCACACTACGCATAAGAAAAACCCACTTGACTATGATCTTGTGCTTCCATTTTCCCCCAAAACAAATGTAATCATGCATGAGACCAAACATGCGCAGATGTAGTAGATACGGCACATTCAACATAGCGGCAAGTATTAAGAGATCTTTCAAAGTATTTGTGTGTTCCACAAAACAAGTCGAGCATATAGTGTTCACGTTGGCTAAATTCCCTGAAGTATCCACATAAGATTTCATGTCATGCAAGAGAAAATCTTTATCTGGCTCCACAGAAAGACTTTCACGTTGGGTGCTTCGAAGAAATTGGTAGTAGTGTAAATATGATATCCTTGAGAAAGCTCCATTAATGAGTACGGCATCGGAGAAATCAATTACCACCTTCAAAACAAGCCAGCAAATAGAACTATCCCATCTTGTCCGTGAATGTAACCATTGCGAGACCAGCTCGTGTCGTACATAACGACCAACATCAAAGTCGTCTAGTATTAACCATGCGAGAATAAGCTGAAAACCAGAGCCGTCAAAACCAATGTGAAAAATATAGCTAGAGCAAAACGGCGACTCTCTGCTTGAACCCCTGTCCACAATCGAGTGATCTAATACAAGAACATCTACTCCACTCATTGTGACAAAATTTGTGTAACCCAAACCAAAATCCGAAGTATGGACATGTGTACTCATCAGTGAAACGAGCCTTAGCTTCTCATTAGTAACTTGGATTTTGTCACATTTCGATGAATCATCATAGCCCTTAACCGTGAATTCATCATTACAAACAGTACCAATCGGATCATCTCTATTGACACCAATAAACGGATCACCATAAACCTTGTGGTAGAGATTTTTCTTTTTGAGGTGAAAAGGATTATCACGTTGATAATGATCTGGCGGTTCACGATCTGGTGGTTGGCCATTGATCTGTCGATGATACTGATTAAGATTAAAAAAAATTACCTTGATGTCTTTTAGCTATGTGATTCACCATGTCTTCATGATAAGATGAAAATACGATCCCATCAGTCTTGCATAAAGCAGAATTAATATATTGCTTCCCTTGACCTACATTCGTATCTTCGTCCTCCTCACCAAGTTTATTTATTACTTGAACATATTCTGCTGGTCCAAGTTTTACGTCTTCCTTTCTTTGAATTCCTAAGAACTTGATATACTCTTCATCATAAACATCAAAGATTGGATTTGCATCATCACGGTCATGACAAATCTGATTAGCACCATCAGAATCACAAAGGCGGAAGATCGGATCTGCCTCATCATAGACATCGTAGATTGGAGCTCCATAAAACTCGTTGTAGAGATCTCCTACAGCTTGATAATGGTTCTCGTCGTCAATTTCTTCAACCTCTTCGTCAAAGATTGAATCATCCCCTTGGAAAAAAATTGGCGGGTGTTGGTTAGCCAAGATTAACGCGTCTAGGGCACTTACCATGGACTCTCGCAACACGTCACACATAGTTTGTTGAAACTCCGCTAGAGCTTCTCGCAAAGCAATAACTTGCTTGTTCCTCTATCGATGTAGTTTATGTCTTGGCGGCATGATAAAAGGACCGAACCTTGATTGAGAAACCAAAGTGCTGTCTCTGGTACCAACTGATGGAGAGCGGAAGCTAGATAAACTCGATGATCGTTGATTCCCAAGAATAGCCGTTCAAACGAGGGTTCTTGATAATCGTTGATTCTCAAAGAATACCGATAACAAGGATAAGATGAACTGAAAAGTTCTATGTTTATTCAATAATCA